ATTGCAGCTTACGTCTGACATAGGTAGTGAAATAGAAGAAAATCAACTATCTTTAAAACGAAAAAAAAAATGCCCAAGACGGCATCAAAGTAGTAGTGAAGAAGAAGAGGAAAATAATAATTGTCTACAAACGAAGAAGTCGTCATCAGCAATTCTATCACGCCCTCCGCCTGTGCAATCTCAAATTCTTCCACGTCATCCGTCTATGCAATCTCAAATTCTATCACATCATCCGCCTATGCAATCTCCGGTACAGCGAAATGTGTTTGGTGAGTTTACTAGTATATGCTAAACTTATTGAAATGCTATTAATACCCACAATTTTTTATGTTTACCTAGATAGTGGAGAATCCTTAGGGCGTAATCTTTTTGGGGAAGCGGAGAATAACTGTGACGATAGTAGGTTTGAATTTATCGTATACAGTTTTGTTTTATTTTACTTTACTTTATTTTTTTTCTAGCAACAGAAGCAAGAAGCACATCTACTCCCCGAAGATTACTGTCTGAGCTTAATCATCGTGACAACTATGATAATAGTAAGTTAAATTCTTTATATCATGTTTAGGATTCTGTAGTAACTACAGGGAACTCTTATAATTTCGTTCTGTCTGTGTGTGCGTGCCTGTGTGTGTGTGTGTGTCCGTCACAGCCTTTTTGTCCTCCCATCGTACTTCCGTAATTATTTGATTTAAAAATTAAAAAAAAAATCATCAAAACAGATTATTTTGTAAGTACTTTCAACTAAAATTATTTTGAAACTAATATTGCATTTATATAACATATGTAACCATTGTGTTTAGCTGGTAATTTCACAAAAAATTGTTTTTCATTACTTTCATTAGAAAAAAATAATAATATTTTCAATTAACCTACGCAATCCTAAGCGTGTGAATTGAGTTGAACAGTTTTTTATATTAAAAAAAAATTGTTTGTAGGAACAGGAATACCTTCAAGATCACATTCTGAGTCTCGCTATCATGACAATTCTTGTTTTGAAACTGAAGACGTATTGACTAATGGTACGCGTTTTCTTTCGTTTAAGTAAAGTAGAGTCTGTTTTGTTACGATTAATTATGTTTTACAGAAACCTCAAGTACCAACTACAGAACTCTATTAAAATTAATCACATACGTCAAACGACAAAATGATCAAATTTTAAAACAAAATGAAGAAATTATCAAATCTTTAAAAAATAAAGCAGTTCTTGAATCTGCTATCCATGAGCTCCCAGAATTGCCTGTTAGTCTACCGATTAAAAGTTTAGAAGATGTTATTAGAATTGAGGAACATCTAATAAATGATGATAATCTTTCTACTTTGGTAAATATTTTTATAATTATTTCCAAAATATTGTTTTGTTTTATTACTAAAATATTTTTTTATAGAGCTTATATTTGTCTACTCTGGGAGGACGTGACCTAACGACTAAAACCAATACTATTCTTCGCAATATCTTGTCGAACGAAGTCGCTATAAAATATAGTTTTTTGGGTACAAGAAATGAGAAGAAATCATTTTCGGCATCGCGGTTACACAGATTGATAATACGTAAGTTTCTCATTTGTTTTTATTTATATTTATTAGGATTGAAAAGATATATTTATATCTTTTCAATCCTAATAAAGATGATATATTTATTAAGATTAATAGTAAAACGGAGCCTGTAACTCAAGAAAAGAATTGAACTGATCGACAATCTTGCTGACAAATCTTAGCGACAAAATAAAAATAATTATGAAAAAATTATAAAATATTATTACGTATATTTATTACAGCGGTTTACCTTATTTCAAAATTTTTACTTATTTATGTATAATTTTAAATTAATAATGTGATGGCAACGATATTGTTTACAGAATGATTAAATTTCAGGTGCAGTGCAATTTTCATCACCAAACACTCCTGAAAGTAACATCAACGATATCAAGATATGGTTAAAGCATTCTCCCCAACGTTTGGCTCTAGAAAGAAAAAGAAATGCTAGATAAAAGTTTAATAGCGAAATCCTAAAACATTTAATTTTTGTTTGATTTACAATTTATTATTTTATTTTAAATTTTATCGTTTTGTTATCATATTGATACCAATATGCCTAAAGTTTTTATTAGTAAAAGACAACTGTACCGAAGAGTTGCAAATGATATTAATGGAATTGTCAAGTCTAAGACTACTAAAACTGAAGCAGAACTACCTTTAATTGATCAATCTACACAAGTGACAAATGAACAAGTTAATGCTGGAATTTCTAACACGTTTTCAAGTGATGATTATGACGATTTATCAGATATTATTAGTAATAGAAACGAAAGTAGTGACAATCTTTCTGATTTTGAAAATGCCGATTTTGATTTTGTCGATTTTAAATATACTGATTCCGAACAAAAAATGGATAATAATTTTTCAAAATTAGAAGAATCTTCTAATAATTCTTTACGCGATTCTTTAAGAAAATGGACTGTATCAAATGTGAATGTTCCACATGCGGCCATAAATTCATTGCTGCAGATTTTAACACCTTTTCATCCTGAATTGCCTCTTGATGTGAGAACTCTGCTTAAAACTCCTTCAAAAATCAATGTGAAAAAGATAGAAACAGGAGAATATGTGTATATGGGGCTCCAAAGTGCTATTGAACAACACTTGACGCGTAATCTAAATTTTTCAGATGCAATTATTAATTTAACTTTTAATGTTGATGGATTGCCGTTATTTAAGAGTGCCAATACTCAGTTGTGGCCAATTTTAGGGCTTATTCAAAATTCAAATGATAAAACTCCTTTTCTTATTAGTGTTTTTTGTGGGACATCGAAGCCGAAGCCATTAGCTAGTTTTTTGGAGGAGTTTATAGAAGAGCTTTCTCTATTGCTTAAAAACGGTTTTGATTTCAATGATATTCATTACGGAGTTACAGTTCATTGTTTTGTATGTGATGCTCCTGCACGTTCATATCTAAAATGCATTAAATCACACGGAGGTTACTCTTCGTGTGAAAAATGTACCGAATCGGGAGATTATTTTAATGGAAGAGTGATACTTCGAAATGTTAACGCCCATCTTAGAAATGATGATACCTTTAAATCAAAACAAGATGAGGATCACCATGTAGGTGACTCTCCTTTACTTCAGCTTAACATTGGACTTGTGACTTCCTTTCCAATCGATTATATGCACAATGTCTGCTTAGGTGTGACTCGTAAGCTTTTACAATGTTGGATTAATGGAGGTTTTAAAGTTAGATTGTCTGCGAATGCTGTACGAACTCTTTCCGATAATATGATCGCTTTGAATGATTACATTCCTAAAGAAATAAATAGAAAACCAAGACCTTTAACAGAAGTAGCTCGGTTTAAAGCTACTGAATTTCGGACTTTCCTTTTATATTTAGGACCAGCTCTGCTGTGCAATGTTGTTGATAAAGCTGTGTACGAACATTTTCTGATACTCCATTCAGCCATTGTAATTTTATGTTCAAAGCGACACATATCGGTATTGGGTTGTAATATAGCTTCGCAACTTTTAAGAATATTTGTTGAACATAGTGAACATCTGTATGGTTTGGAATTTTTAATTTATAATGTTCATTGCTTAATTCACTTACCAGCAGATGTTGCAATGTATGGACCTCTGGATAATTTCGCAGCTTTTCCTTTTGAAAACTTCTTAGGAAAGCTGAAGCGACTTATTAAGTCTGCAAATCAACCATTAATCCAGCTTTGTAAAAGGTTACATGAAGCAAACTTGGTTTCAAATGTAAATGAAAACTTATCTGCAAGTCATATTAGTCATCTGCTTGAGCATTGTCACGGGCCGACAATCCCATTAATATCATTTTGCAAACAGTACAAAAAAATTATTTTTAACAATTTCATGTTGTCAACTTATACTTTCTCTCAAGCTGATTGCTATTGTATGATTAATAGTAAGATTGTACAGATACATAACTTTGTAACACACAAAGATAGCAGTACCTCAATTATTGGTAAACAATTTTTTTCATATAGTTCGCTGTATACTTATCCTTTTAATTCGGGTGACTTGAATATTTTTAAAATTAATGATATATCTAATGATTTAGAACTTTGGCCAATAACAGATGTGCATTGTAAGACTTTTGTTTTTTCATATAATAATTGTCATGTTTCATTTCCTATTTTACATACATCATTATAGATTGTTTGCTATATGTTACACTATTTCTTGTAGCAGCATTTTCGACAAACATTATCAAATTGAACATTTGTAATATATATTTTTTTTAATACATTGGTACAATTGTTCTTTATATTTAATGTATTTTATTTTCCTTTTAAATTAGCAGTAACGTCTTTAACACGTCATTTAGACGTCATTTTGTTGAGACTTTTTTAGTCATATTTACGTCTCCCTGACGTAATAAAATGACGTCAATAAGATGTGACATAATCACGTGATATGTATGTTAGAATCACGTTATTTTTATGTCTTAACTTACGTAATTGCGGACCAAAAATTCACGTCATTATCACGTGAGCTTGCTAGCTGGGTAA